AAAACAAAAATAATAAAGACTAGGGTACTCCTGGGATTGACCAAAACAAAATTCTCTTGTACATGATGAGATTGTATAGAAAAAATTGTCACACAACGACTTATAAACTGTACGTCTTAGTTTAAATAGTAATTTTATTACATGATATATATCATCTCACATTTACTTATGAGTATCTAACTTTTATTTTCGTTCTTTCTTATAATAACATTTAATTTTTGTAGAAAAGAAACCTATCATAATTTCATTTAACTATATTAACATAAACTTTTGACTTATAATTTTCTTTAGAATAAGGAAAACAACATTTCAAATCCCTCTAATAATTACATATGTTGAACAAAAATATAATTAATGTGTGTATCAAATTTTAAATTCAAAAAAATATAAAATCTAAATAAAATATGATGTGTTATGCAATGTGGATGATTATATTCATGAGAAATGAAAAACTACTTTTTTTTGAGAAAATAGAAAAACAAATTTTATATATATAGATTTTTTTTTTTGCCAACATTTACTTTTATTATCTATAGGAGGCACACAACTAGGGAATCTTCAGTTAGTCAGACATAGGCTTCCAACAAAAAGTTCTTCACCATTTACACATACATTACATATATTCCAACTAAAATCTCTTAACAATCAAAAGCATAAAAGTAAGTTAATGCTAAAATAAACATGATTTTTATATTAGATAAAAATGAAAGATAGTTTTGATTAGTATACATTATATAATTTGTTAATGCAAATAAGTTTGGTGTTCATTGTTATGTTTATGATATCTTACCAATGGTGAAATCAATTTCTACAGGAGAATCAATTCTGACACGGAGAAAGTGAGACTAACGAAGAAGAGTAGAGGAAGGAATAAGATGAATGAAAGAAGTTATTTGCAAATTCCATCTCAATACTTCAGAGGAAAAGAAGATCCATTTATTAATATGTTTTCTTTTAAACTAATCTCTTATTTTGTAACAAGAAACAATGTATATATAAAATATTTGTGTAATT